GTTGCAGCCCTTTATTTCCCAAACTCGCTTCCTGTCATTTTTTTTTTGCAGGATTTCGACATTGTCTCCAGTTACCTAGAAACTCAGGAAAGAAGATGTAAATGTTTCAGGTTAAAAGCAAGGCAAGGTGTGCAGGCAGAAATAACAGCTTTTACTAGGACAACAGGCGATGTGGCGGGCAAGCTTTGAAGAAGGCAGACAAGCTTTTGGGCACAGCAGTGCAGCCAGAGCAAAATCACTGCTGCTGGAAAGAAGAGTGACATTTGCTGTTTGAACCAGAGACCACGCAGCGTGAAGAAAAGAGTACCAAGCTAAACAACACCTACCTCCTAAGCTGGTGTAAGTAACACAGCACCTTTCCCACCACCGATAACCCTCAGACACCAGGTGCTGCCCCAAATACTCTGATCTGCAGAAGGGCTTTTGTGCCAGAAAGTGTGTTTTTGTTTTTGGTTTTTTTTTTTTTTTTTTTCAGCTATATATCCCTCAGACTAAGAAAAGGTGCTTCCTCTCCTTTCAGCCATACCTTCCTCATCTCCCCGGGCTGTCACGCTCCCAAGAAAAGTTTTGCAAGGTTCACTGGCAGTGTAATATCCCGATGCCAGGCTGGGCAGTGAGATAATGCAGGGGGTTACTGGGAAAGGAAACCGGCTGTGGAGCATCTGGGACGGGTGTGTGTTGGACACCGAGAGCTTCCTTGTGGCCCCACACATGGTGGCAACCAGAAGAGCTAGATGGTTGCTCCATCCTCTTTTCTGAAAATCATAATTAATGCTGCTTTTAAGCTTCTCTTTTGCATTTCTGTGCTAAAATAAATAAATAAATAAATAAATAAATAAATAAATAAATAAATAAATAAATAAATAGAAAAAAAAGCCCATTACCTACTCCCTGGACACAACTGTAATAGCTGAGTGCAGTGGAGACGTGAAGGCGGCACGGGGTCTCGGGGATGTCAGGGTAGCTGTAGTTCATCCTGCATGAAACGCTGAGTTCTCTGGAAAGCAATTTTAGCCAGTTTTGTCTTCGATTATAAGTGCTTGCTACTTTTTTGAACATCAGCATTTGGAATCAAGGACACGCAGGAGCTTCAGCCTCAGATATTCAATGTGTGGAGTAAACCTAACTGCTGCTGTGTTTCAGCAGCCAGTGCAGATCTTCGAGAGCTCTCTCTGCTCAGGTGTGATAAATGCACTCACAACCGGCATCAAGCTTGACTGAGGAGCCTACAGAGGTGAAAAATCAATGTTTCTTCACCGTGAGCCAAATGGCAGCTCATGCTCCAGGGGAGCCACAACATCTGCAGCGTGCAAAACACGCTGGGTGGTGGGTTACGCACGTGTTAGCACAACGGTTGTGCCTCTTCCTGGAGGAAGATGCTCAGCTCTGAAATGCTCAGAGCACATGGGGCCTCTCCAGGGCAAAAATCGCCAGGAGCTCAAGGAAAGTTTTGCCTGAGTGAAGATTGAGCAGAGGCATCGGGATTTAACTCTTTCCTCCCGCCCAGCCCTTTTTAGGTGAATTTCAAATCCTTTGCAGATTTTGGTGGAAACCTCCTAGGAAGTTCTTACTGTCCTCATTTGCATCACAGAAATTTCTCTTACAGGAAACCCACGGCTTTATCATGTCTATTTACCTACACAACAGCCTCAATGGGAGGTGGCACCAGGTCAGCCTGGTGCTCCTGTACTAACACAAGTCCCGAATGAAGAGCAGAAGGAATTTGAGCTCATTGCTAACCCATAAAGCTCTCTGTGAATGCAGGTATCCATACTTCTCCGTTACAGGCCAGGTTAGCATGCATTTAAGCTTTAAAACACTCAGAGATTTTGGGTCCAGAACCTTGCTAGGTGATGGACATAGCTAGTGCAGAAACCACCTCAGAAACTGATATTAAGCAAGTGACCAAGCTGAATGTAGTTTATTTACCTCTTGCTCTTCTGTTATAATTCAAATCCAGTAAAAGCCATTGGAACTAAGTAATAAGATATGTTATTCACAAAATGGGCTTCTGGGGTCCATAAAATCTGAGGGCAAGAACATAGCTGTGCACAGAAAGAGTACTTCTTGGTGAACCTGGCCAAAACAAACACACATCCCACGTGGGGACGACCACCTTTCACACCCAACTGCTGGGCTTTGCCTGCTGGAGAGCAAGCACGAGGTGTCCCAGCCCCTCCAGCTGCCCACATAGCAGAACCACCACAGAGAGATCTGTGTCAGGGCCAACCCCAAATAAGCCTAAGGACCCTGGTGAACACTGCATCATGTGAAGACGCAGGACAAATATTTTCAATGCCTAGATTTATGGACTGGGTTAAATAGGAGTGCCTGAGCCAGTATATCAACTAACACAATTAATTAGGCATTTTAAGAAGATGCAAATGAAGGCAAAGATAAACAGCAGGAAGTTTCTCCCTTGCTTTACATGTGCCGGGCGCAGGAATTCCTTCCCATCTGCGCATCCTCACGGCTGCGCGCTGCAGCCCCTTGTCAGGCTGCACCCACCTCTGCTGCGACCAGCCCCTTGGGAATGGTTTCTCTGTGGATCTAGACAATGTGAGCACCTTGTGCCCGCAGACACAAGTCCCCTAAAGCCTCAGCAGTGGCTCTTTAGTGGCTCCATCATGGGTGGCAGCACGCTGCCAAGTGGTGCTTGCCGGGGGCACCTGGGCACGGGGAGAGTGGCCTTGGTGCCAAATCACCGATGGAGACTTGACACTCCTGTCCCAGCTGTGAGGGCCCTGGCTGGGAGCCTGGGCTGCTCTCCTCTGGGCTTCGTGCCCTGGGGCATCCAAATTCACACACATGGCGCTCTGGTAGCAACCACCTTGTCGTGATGGGGCAAAAAGTGCACACACACACACACACACACACACACAGAGGTATTGAAAAAGCTAACTTATTTAGCCTGATTATACAGTGAAATACACTATTTTACATGTGACTTGCTGCAGCAGCAAAATGTGGTGAACAGTGAATCAAAAAGCAGCACTTTTCTGTGCCAGCAGCGTTGATCAGGCACAGCATCCTTACCTGGGGGAGGCAATTACTGGAACAATCTCTCTTTCTCCGTTCCTCCTTTGTTCCTGTTCTTGCAGGGGCTGTAACTGCCTTTTATATCTTCTTGTTTTCTCCACTGTGTTTTCACCGTGCATGGGATGTTTCACGTATTTTGCACAGATAATCTATCTTTATTCTGGAGGAGCCCTTTGCCAGTGCCCCATGATACGTTGCAGCACCTTGTCCACCAGCAGGCAAGTTCTCAGAGAGGGAAAATGCAGTTTGGCCAAGGTGCTGCTCCACAGACAGAGGTGCTGGCACCACTCAGCACTTATAGCCTCTACCTTGTGAAATATTTGTCATGGGTTTGTGGCTGCCTGTAGGCCGGCTCTCTGGAGAAGACAGGAGATTGCAGATGGTTATGGGGCTGGAGGACCAAAGGGGCAGAGCAATGTGCTGTCACGGAGCCACCTCACCCTCTGCAGCCCTCTGCTAGGAGGAGCACACAGAGCCGTGCACTGACGCCTCCTTGAAGTGCTTCAGAAGCCATTTGACAATCAAATTTCTGTTAAATATACTATCCGAGCAGGTAATGAGCAGCAGAAGATGTCTCATTGTCCTTTAATAGGGGAACTGGTGATTCACAGTGCTCAGTGTCATGCCTGGTAACGTGAGTGCTCAGCACTGCTGTATCTGCGACAGAAGAATCCAGATGTTCTCCCCTGGGACCCCTGGGGCCAAGCACTGTCCTGCCAAGGAGTGAGGCCCACCGTGTTCGGAGGACACCTGGGCTTCGTTGTCAGGGATTGCACAGTGGAGTTCGAGGACCTTGCTGCATCCCAGCCCGGGGATTGAGCCCACGCTGGGGTGCTGCACCCCTGCCCCGTGCTCCCCTCTCTGTGATGGAGATCCAACCCGGGTGAACCAGTCCTCTTTGTGCCTCAGTTTACTGTTTTTTAAAACTCTTCGGTGTCTGCAGGTAAACGGGGCTGCACACCCACACATTTTTTTTCAGCTAGGCTGAGTGGTGACCAAGCATACACGAAGCAGGTACAAATTATATGACGGGGCTTTACATCAGTCCCTGCAGCCTGTGCAGATAAACCCTGAGCTGGTTTTCAACCAGCAAGGTGAGGAGCTGTAAGGAGCACAGGATCAGCAGCTCCAGTGCAGGTGTATCCATAGAAATGGCTTTGCCTGTCAGTGATGCTCAGCTGTAGCTCAAGAGCCACACGCTGAATCTGTGAGTGCGCAGCAAGAGCACAGCGCTGGTAAAAAAGAAAAAATCGACCCCTGTGATGAGGAAGTGCGTGAAGGTGCCCATCATAGGGACCATCTTGAGCCTCAGCTCGGAGCACTCTCGCCTTGTTTAACATCCAGGTATCCTCACGGGTGCTGCGGGGCAAAGGGATCCGGCTGCAACTGGGGAGAAGGGGCAATACTGGCATTTGAGAGAGGAGAACCGAGGCGGTCACAAAGCAAGCCCGTAGCAGAGATCCCCCCCGTGCTGCAGCGTGGGTGTCCCACCCCTAGGACAGCGGCGTCCCACCCGTGGGGTAGTGATGTCCACGGGGTGCCTCTCACGGGCTCTGCAGCCCGAAGCTCTCTCCGGGTGCCTGATATTTCTGCTCCCTGGCTCCTGCGCCCCGGGGGGGTGACCGGGCTCTGTGCCGCCCGTCCCTTGGGAGCAGGGGCAGTGCCACCCCCCGGGGGATCCCCCACACCCGCGGCCCTTCCCGCCCTCCCCTCCCCAGCACTGCCGGACCGTGCGGTTCCCCCCTCCCGCCCCCCCGACGGGCCGATCCCGGAGCAGCTTTCCGAGGAGATGGGGAGCACATCCCACGCCCCCCCCCCAAAAAAAAAAAACCCAAACCAACATCCCACAACCTCCCCACACCCAAGCCACCGCCCCGACGGGCCGGGAAGGGCCCGATGGGCTCCCGGCAGCGGCTCCCCCCGCCCGCCCCGCCGCCACCGCCCGCCCCCGGCCCCGCCCGGCCGCCCCACGGGCCCGCCCCACGGGCCCCGCTTCCACGGGAGCCGCGCTCGGCCGGAGCGGGGCTGGCGCCGGTGGGTGAGTGTGGCGGCGGGTCTGGGGCTGGGGAGGGGGCGAGGGGGGTGAAGGGGTCACAGACTCCCCCTCCCCACCCTCCCCCCGGCTTGTCGCTTTGCCAGAGGGGAGAGGCGGCGGGGGGGGGGGGTCCCCCGGGGGTGCCGCCGGGTGGCAGCTACTTTTTTAGAGGGGACGTCGGGCTGAGGGAAAGACTGGCGTGGCTGGGGGGCACGGGGGCTGGGGGGGCCCACGCGTGTCGCTCCACGCTGACTCTTCTCCATCGGAACCTGCCTTGGGGAGGCTGACAGCACCGGAGCTCCTCTGGTGCTCTGGCAAAAGCATCGTTAGTATGATGGTTTGGATGGGTACCAAAGCCCTAAATAATAATAATAATAATGATACTACTACTACTAATAATAATAACAACGCTCAATAATAATAATAATAATAATAATAATAATAATAATAATAATAATAATAATAATAATAAAACAACAACAACAACAACAAATTCAGATAAGGGCAGGAAGGACTCTCCCCAATGACACACTCGTGCTTCGACGTGTCTCTCCCCAGCGCTCCTCTTGGCACGTCTGCGGGTGGTTAAAGGTCTCCAGCCCACACGGTGGAAGGGCAGGCTGTAAGCGCCGCGGAGGGATGGGGTGTGGAGGTGGATTTCTGCTTGATGGCGGTGGGAGAGGTTCAAAACTCTTTTCGTTTCTTGTACCGCTGGAAAAGAGTATTTTTTTCTGAGTAATGGTTAGTAGACCTTATGAATCACCATCTGCATAACTTTATATGGGGGGATGCTATTCTCAGCATCTTACTGGAACTATGTAAACTATTAACAGTCATATCTGTTTGTACATGCAATGTGCAAATCTATTTCCCTGGAAAGACTATTTCAGAGTAGGTCAAAGAAGGAGATGGGGCAGAACAAAATGTCAGGGTGGCTCGGCGGGTGCAAACGGGTGCTTGGGAGCCTGCAGTTGCCATCTTCAGAGAGGCAGCCCCTCTGTGGAAACCTGTGCTGGAAATGAGCACTGGGAGACCTGAGGCCACTGGGATGCTGAGTGCCCCGGGAGCAGGGACTCGGGTCCTGCCCCGGCATCACACCTCGCTTCCCAGCATTGCTCCTTTGGCCTCTTCTTCTTCTATCAGCGGTTGGTGGGCTGAGAAAAAAAAAAAAAACAAAAAACAAAAACCAAAACCAAACTTGTGGGTCTTTTAAAGAGTCTGAGGAGAGCCGTGCCAGCCCGAGAGGGGGTTTGGCAAGGGGACAGTGCGATGGCAATGTCACCCAGCGCAGAGGAGCCGCCCCCGCACACGCGCTGCGGGGGCACGTGCCGGGTAGGCTGGAGGAGCTTTTCGCGTTGCTCCCTGCGCTGCGCTGGTTTTGTCAAGAGAGAAGAGTTTATTCTCTCGAGCTGTCAATCTGTCACCTCCCAGAGGCTCTCCGCCTTCTCTCCACATCTGCCTCCCCCTCGCTGCCAGCGCTTCCAGATGTGCGCAGCGCCGGGGGCTGCAAAATTCCCCATGCCCGGGGAAGGGAACTCACAGCATCTCCCAAACCTCACCAGGGGAATCACAGCACCTCTCAAACCTCACCAGGCTGACCCCAAAATGAGGAGAGTGTTGTCTGCAGGAGCTGAACATTTCAACTCTCGGTGCTGTTTCAATCCAGGCTTTCAGTGCAGAGCGACCTGTCGTTTCCATGCTGCTGGATTGAGAGTTTTTGCTGTAGGGTTTTTGGGTTGTGGCTTGTTTGTTTTTTTTGTGGTTTTTGTTTTTTTTTTTTTTTCTTTTCAAATAATATTGGCTGAAAATTTTCCAGGAAAATGCTCTGCTCTCAAAAAGAGCTGGATTCATGGGTCAGTGGGGTCCTTGCACGCTCCTGAGCAGCTACTGCTGCAAGGTGGTGTGAGCCCAGCTTGTCTGCTGTGTCCTGCTCGTGTTCGGTGGTGACTTGAGGACGCTGATCCCTAACAGCCTCTAACAGCATCTCTAACTGGGCCCTAACAGTCTCGTCTCCGTCTCAGCTCAGCCAAGCCCCCGTCATTCAGGAGGGAGCATCTAAACATGTCCCCTCGTTATGGGGGGAAGCTCTGCCTCCTCTCAGCCCAGTAACACCACCACCTCCTTCCTGGTGGGTGACTGTGGCTACTGGTGGGGCCCCTGGCAGCGATTTGCAGCCCCCGGGCAGCGATTCGGGCTCGTGACCGTGGGACGAGAGCCAGAGGGTGTTGTCGGGGCTCCCAGCCCTGCAGCCTTCCTGCAGGTTTCCTAAATCCCACTTCTCATCGGATTTCTTCATTAAACATAGATTAGATCAGATGGTGTTTCTTTCACTAAGAAGTAATTTGGCTTTCCATTTAGTGGGCCCATCTGATAAATAACGGCTTGAAATAATGTAATTCCACACGCCCTTGATCACACCGAGTTTGTGCTGGACTTCTGCTCCCTCCTTAGCTCTGGCTTGGCGCTTCCAGATCTCAGGGCACAATTTGATTCCCTGCTGTAGGAGGAAAGCCCTGCCTGGAGGAATGGAGACCAAATCCACCAGATTATCTTCATTTTACTGACATACAAGCAAAGTGACAGAGGCAGAGGAGGGGGCTGAGTGTGGGTCACCCAGCTCTCCATCAACCTGTGCGCTTGAGCCCCATCTCCGTCCTGGACAGACCCCAATATGCCATCTCTCTGCTGGCACTGCCACCACGAGAAGCCCTTGCAGAGGAGTCACCCAAGACTGAATCTATAAGGGGGTGCCTGGTGCTTAATTCCCACATGGTCCAAAGCTTTTTGTCCATCAGGAAGTGGGAGCTGAACCTGCATCTTCTTGCTGGGCAGTGAGCAAGGCCAGAGGGGACGTGGTGGGACCTCTGTGCCTTCCCGGTTGCTGGTGCTGTTTGGTTAGTTGGTGGCTGGGGATCCCCAAGCCCAGAGACCAACCCCAAACCGCTCTGATAGGGGCGGTGAAGGTGGTAATAGCACCTGCGGGTTCGATTGTGCCGGAAGATGTGCACTGGAGCTGACCCAGGGGAGCAAGATTTTGTGTGCCAAAGCTCACGTGGATGAAGATTGATCAGCCTCTTCCAGCATCAGGGTATTTACCCCACCTTCAAAATAAACTGAAGCCCCTCTGTGCTTCTGGAGTGTCCCCAGATGGGACATCTTAGCTGGGTCAGCAAGAGCCTCGTAGATCTCAGTGGTCTGTTGCTTCAACCCCCCTGACCAGCACAGCAGAAACACCTACTTCAGCTGTAGGCCATACCCTCTCCAAGGGTTTAGCTTGTGTCCAGCATATTCCTGACTTTTAATGGAGATGTGGATAGATTCCTGCTCCCGTCCTTGTCCTGAGCTTGGTCGTGGTGGGGAGTGCAGTGCTCCACCAGTGACAGCAGAGCTCATTGGGGTCCCTGCTCAATCGGTGTCTCAGGATCCATCCCTAGGTGAGGTCCCCCGGGTTGCCAGCGTCTGAGGGGTTTGTTTTCTCCCTGAAATAGCAGCTCTGTGACTTTCAGAGAAGGTACTTGGCTCTTTTCCCTGAGAAAGCAAGAGGCAGCACAGCCCCAAATCCCCTGGGCTGCGGACTTTCGAGCAGTGACGCCAGACACCTACTGTCACCGCAGGACTGATTTACCTCCAGTTTCAGAGGAGAAAACATGTGTACTGATAATTCGGAAGCGATGACATCTTAAATTCATGTCCCTCTCCCTAACCTCTTCCACAAGCCTTGCTTTGATCAGAAATCCAGCTGGCGTTCCTCCGAGCTTGGGAGGAAGTCTGGAATAAAATCCAAAGACAAGAGCTATGCAAGTCCCCGGAGCCGCCTCCGTAGCTCCCCTGGCTGGGGTTTCCATCCTGCCTCCTTGAGAGCGCTGTGTTGTTTCTTGAAAATGAGGATGTTTTTATGAGGCTGTTGGGATATTTATGGGTCCAAACCAACGGCTGACTTTATTCTGCCCAAGGGCTTCCCATCTGAGGCGGTGGAAATGTTCCATTTGATGGTCAATATTAAATAGCTGAAGAGTGTGCAACCCCCAGTAGATTTCTCCTCTGGCATGTCTTCCACGTCCTTGTCCCGCTCAAACCCGGTCCCTTTCTTGTCTTGCAGGACGTGGGCTCTCTCATGCCTTGTCTCACTCACCTCCCTCCCTAAAACCTCCTTCTGAAGGATGGCAGCTGCCTCTTTCCGCTACGGCATGACCATCACGGGGGCCGTGCTGCTGGTGACGGGGACGCTGTGCTTTGCCTGGTGGAGCGACGGGGAGGTGGGCTCGCCGGCCGGCAGCGGGGCTCGCCTCCTGCCTCCCCGGGAAGCCGAGGCCGTTCCCAGCTCCTCCTCCAGCGCCCTGCTCCGCTCTGTCAGCTTCTTCTGCTGCGGCATCGGCGGCATCCTCCTCCTCTTCGGCCTCCTCTGGTCCGTGAAAGCCAACGCCAGGGTGGTTTCCCGCCGCTACCAGTACCATTTCCCCAGGGACCTGCAGTATTTCACCGCGGAGCCTCCGGAGAAGTGGAACTGCAGGTGTGTGCCACGTCTCCATGTCACGCTTGGGTGGGAAGAAGCCGAGGGTGGGTTTAACTGTCCCGGCACGGCCGTGGACCTGAGCTTGCTCTCAGGCTTACTTCCAGGTGAGCTCAGATGAGCCGTAATGCCGCTGCGCTGCCGGCTGCTGCTCAGACCCCATTCTGTGCTCTCCTCCTCCTCCCTGAGCAGATGCTCTTGCTTATTAGTGTCAACCTTCACCCCACAACTTGGCTCCCCCCTGCCTGCACCCTCTGTGCCCATCCTGGCTGCTCCCGTGGCCGGCTCAGCCTCACTCCTTGCCATCACCGGCCGAGGCAGACATCTCCTTAGCAGAGCCACCAAGCAGAAGACTACATTTGGTTTTCTGGCAGAAGGTCTGGATTTGGGATTGGGGGAGTCATCCAGTCCTCCAGCTGTTGAAACATTCCCCAGTGCCACAGGTCTGCAGTGATCTGTATGGATGAGGGAGGCCATGGAAGTAAATGGAAGCAATATCTACGTTAAAATGGAGTTAAAAGAAAAAAAGAAGGAAAATAATCCTTGGATTGGCATTGAGGTGGTAGTGTAGGCAGAAGGTCCCTCTATGAAGCCTATTTTGGGTGTGGAAAGACCCTCGCCCCACCCTGAACACCACTGTTGCTTGTTGGGTCCCCAGTCTCTTCCTGTGCGAGGCTGAGATTTATTCCCACTTCTTGATTTAAAAGTATTTTGATCAAAAGGTTTGTTTTGTTTTTTTTTTTTTCCAGAGACTGCTGTGGAAGCTGAGCCAGCCGGCCCTTCCCAGTGCTGTTTTATGGGGTCACAGCAAAGATCTTGGCTCCAGCATAAATCGGGCTCTGGGGAAAAACAGCACTAAAAGAAACTCTTAAGAACATAAAACTGTAAAAATTCAGTTGGAACGGGAGGCATGTTCCTGGTTCTCTGGGGGTTCCAGTGCCCATATGAATATCTGGGAGTGAGACTGTGAGCCAGTCTGAGTATTCTGGGGAGGGGTTCATCCTCCTGTGGAGGGCTTTGCTGTACCCCCCCCGGGGAATGTCCCCTTCCATGAGCTCCCGGCTCCCGGGCACTGCTGGAGCTGCGGCAGCTCCTCTGGCCCCAGCCATGCTGGCATTCATGCAGGAGAGGATCCTGTGCTGGGAGAAATCCCCCTCTCCCCATTTCCAAGGCATCATCCCTTCTCAAGCCGAGGCTGTTTGGCAAATGCCCGGGGCGGTAGGTCTGGAACAAGGGGGCTGCCAATTTTGGGATGGAGGCATCCCTGTGGAGCATCGCAGCTTTCCTTCTGGGCCAGCTGTGCCCCTCTGGTGCCCGCAGCCCCGCCGAGCACGCCGGGCCGGGTTTCCATCTGCGAAAGCAAGCGGGCGGCGGGTTGCTTTCAGGGCCTCCCTGTCTTTGGGGCTGCACCTTTTCGTAGGGTGCCGAGCAGGGCCATGCTCAGGGCAAAGGTTGGGTGGAGGTTTTCCCTGTACACAAGCCCTGTTTGCTCAGCAAAGCGCTGGTGGAAGCGGCACCGGGCTTGGCCAGTGCATGGAGGGAGCCCTCGGGCTCGAGGGTGGGTTCAACCGCATTGAACTGGGACGTCTGGCTCTCGCCCGGCTGCTTGTGCCAAACTGCTTACTCAGCTGCCCCAGGTGTGCTTTGGGGCGGGGGGGGTAGGTGTGTGACTTTGGGGTTAGGCGGATGATGAGGATGCTCTCCTGCCCATGGGAAGCCGTGTGATGCAGAATGAGGAGGGGCAGATGTCTCCAGAGCCAGCACCTCTGCTGCTTTGCGGTGATTCCCCCCTGCAATTGTAGCCCTTAAAGCTGGCTGTAGCTCTTCAGGGCTGCCTGGCCAGGCCGCCCTTCCTCTTCTTGGGTTAATAAACTCAGCGGGGAGCGGGGTGACGTTGCCTTGCTGCAAGGTTTGATGGATGGTGCCCTTCCTCCTGCATGGCTCCTCACCCTCCTGGTGCTGGGAAGCAGCTGATGTGGTTTTCCCTTCACCCCAGGCATGCAAAACCTGCCCATGTGTGTCCCCAGCACACACGTGTCCATCGTGCTCAAGGATGCTCCAGCTGATGGGTTGATGGGGCACTGGGATGTTCTGGTTGACGGGCGCTGGGATGCGCCAGCTGATGGGGCACTGGGATGGCTCTGGTTGATGGGGCACTGGGATGGCTCTGGTTGATGGGGCACTGGGATGGCTCTGGTTGATGAGGCACTTGGATGCTCCAGTTGACCGGTGCTGGGATGCTCCGGTTGCTGGGTGCTGGGATGCTCTGGTTAATGGGGTGCGCTGCTAGGTTTCTTCTTCTTCCCTCGCAGCACCTGGGATGCCAGCGCCATCCCCACCTACGAAGAAGCCCTGACCTGCAGACCTGCCCACGGCGTCCCAGCCTACATCCAGCCTCCGGGGAGAAAGGAGGAGCTCACGCCGCCCCTGTACCACTACCTGGAGGAGGACGAGGGCTGGCAGGGTGGCCGCCGGCGCAGCTCCTCCGACAGCGCCTTGTTCCGCCCCAGCCCATCCTGGCTGGAGACCCAGCACCCCGGGGAGCCGCAGGCAACGCCTCCCCCCAGCTACGAAAACATCAGCGTCCGGGGCGACTGAGCTGGCGGCAGCACGGGGCCGGGACTCTGTGGGTGGCTGCCTCAGCTTTAAACCGAGCCCCTTCCTTTGCTGGGGTGAGGCGAGGGCGGGCGAGGAGGGGAAAGGGTCTGTCTGGCTTTTGAATGTTCAGTCCAGGGCTGTCAGGATTGCGGGTCCTATGGGCGATGTGTTCGGAACGTTGGGGGTCACTGGCATGTTTGAAAGCCTTCGTATTTTTAATAAAACCACTGCTGGTTGCAGATGCTTTGCATTCCCTGCTCTGACCCACCCTGGGGAGCTCACATCAGGCCAGGGGCTGCCCACTCAAAGCAAGAGCTGTATAATAAAAACTGCAGCAAAGAATGAGGAATCTGGCTGGAGTAAAACCAGCTCTGTGCCACGCTGTTTGCTCCTCTGCCTTTTCAATGCCCCTTCCAGTCATATCTCCATCCCTTCCACCTTGCTTACCCCACGTACTGACTCCCCACGCCTCACTTCATTTGGTTTAGAGATGTTCAGTGGCTCCCCGCGTGCGTTCAGGGCATCCAAGTGCACTTGGCATTTCAGTTAGCATCCTATAAAAAGCCATCCTGAGTGGCACAGCCCCGTCCCTGCCCGCCGCAGATGGGGCTGCAGCCTCGCCCAGAGGAAAGGCCAAGTGCATCAGGGGGCTGCTGCCAGTTGCTTCATCCCACCAAAATAAAGGGGTGCCCTGGTCCCCCTGCGGACCTGCAGGGCTGCAGCCAAATAGAGCATATTGTTTATAATATAATAGATTATTTTTCATAAGCCAGGTGTACGTGCTCCCACATGGGCAGGCAAGCAAGGGAACAAAATGAAGGCTAAATAAAGCCACCCCTACTATCTGGCTGTTGGATATGTGGGGGTGGGGGGACACCTTTTAACACTCCAGCTCCATCTTAAGCAAACACAGATGCTCTGTCCTCACTCCCCCTGGGTGGACCAGCCCGGCTCCATCCTTCCCCAGCTTTAGCCCCCACCTTTTGCTGCCCAGTTGTTGCCCCACCGAGGCAGTCCCACCAGTGGTTCCCCAGCACCCAGCTGTAGCAAGGCAGGGGCTATTCCCAACCTACCAGCCTCCAAAAAGACCTTGGATCACTCCCTCCATCCCTGCTGCAGCCCTGCAGCCTTTGAAATCACGCTGCGCCCTGGCGTCTCCCTTATTTTGGGGCTCTGCCAGCTCCGATTTACAGCCAAATCCAGCTCCATCCCCCAGGGCTGGGAAAATCCCATCGGGACCAGCCACTCTCTGGGTCCCCGTCTCCGCCACTGTGCTCCCCTCTCCGTCTCCATCCCTTCCCCAGGCGTGGGGTCTGGCCGCGTGTGCCTGCAGGGAAGGTTACCCGGACACGTGCTGGGCGGCTTCACTGGAGTGTGAACGGCGGGTCGGTGTTTGCATTCATTACAAACCCGTTAAAAACTGGCTGGCTCAGCCCTGGGCAGGACCAGGCTCAACGTGCAGCTGCTCCTCAGCCCCTGGCAGCCTCCGGAGAAAGAAGCCACTGCTTGCCTTACCCTGGAGGTGTGCTCAGCGGGCAGCCGCCGCAGGTAAACGGGCTTCCCGGCATCTCTCCTCCCCTCCCTCTCCCACCCGGCATCCATGGCCGAGGAGAAGACTTTTCGTTACGGGTTCATCATGCTGGGCTTCTTCCTGGTGATGACGGGGATGTTCATCATGAGCGTGGAAAAGCCTCAGATCTACATCACTTTCTGTGCTCTGGGCGTCCTGCTCGTAGCCGTGGGCATCACCTGGAGCATGTGCCAGTGCTACCCGAAGGTAGGGTTCATCCCGCTGCCGTGCGCCGTGGGGGGCTCGAGGGCTCAGCTGGGTTTGGGGGGCTTCAGCTGCTGTGGATGTGTAGCCTCAGGCTGTGCCTCGGTTTCCCCTTCTGCGGGGTGGGGTAGCGACAGATCCCTGGGGGAAGCCAGCCGGGTGATCTGGAGTGGGAAGTGTCGGTTTGGGAGGCTCACACCCTGCTACAGCTCCCCGCTGATGCCTGCAGGATGGGGCCCCGCTCTCTCGCCCCCCTGTACCCCTGCACCTGCCCCGAGCCTGCTGCTTTGCTTCCAAGCAGGCACCGGTGAATGAGTCCAAGAAAATCAGCTTGTGTTCACCTCTTCCACGCAAACCCCCTGCCCCCAGCCACCCTTTTCCCTGCACCCGCGGGGGCCGTGGGCTCAGCAGGCTCCCAGAACTTCAAAGAAGGGGCTGTTGTGGCCATGGAGGTCCGGAGGGGCCTTCCCCCCCCCCTGAGCGCAGCCCTCACCGGCCGGTCTCCTTGGCAGAGGGCACCGCCGGCATGGCAGGGTGGCCACGCGTCCCTGCCCCGGGAAACAGAGCTGGCAGAAAAAGCTTTTTGCCAAGGAGACGGCGGCTGTCTCAGTGGAGCAGGGTGGCCCATCAACAGCTCAGCTGCGCCCCAAAATGTGGGGTCGTGCATGGGAGCCCAGGATCTGGAACCAGCAGGGACCCCTGGGACCAGCTGAGTCTCCTGGAACTGGGGTGAAGCTGACCCCAGCTCCCCCCAAGCCACGCTGGTGAGGAGGGAGGTGAGGGTTTGTCACCACTCTCGAGGCTCAAGAACAGGGACCCCTTGGTGTTTTCCCTGGCCATCAACCTCCTTCACGAGCCCTGAAACCCCCCTGGGCTCAGGGACACGCATGACCCCACTGGGGACAAGGCACTGAGAGTGGAGCATGTTGGATTCATTCAATCCCTTATTGATTTCCCCCCCCCCCCCCCAAAAAAAAAAAAAACCATTGCCAAACAAGATATCCAAATGCACCATGAAATGAGCAAAACCCCATCTCAGGGAACACCCCGGCCGTTTTACCACTGACGAGGGCCAAGGTCCCCACAATGCTCAGCACATCCCCCTGGGCTCCGTTTCTTTTCCCCCCAGATAACGTTCATCCCCGTGGACCTCCAGATCGAGCAGTTCCTGGACCACAAACGCACCGTGCTGCCGGAGAGGGACACCCGGTAGGTCCCAGCACCCAGCCCCAGTGGCCGTTTTCCTTTTCATGGGTGCTTTCATCTGTACACACGGTTATCTGCGTGCCCCCGGGGACGAGGGCAGTGTCCGAGGACGCTGGCACCGGGGACAACTACACAAAAAATGACAAGCAGGAGCCGGGGTGGGGGAGGCAGGGGCTGGTTGAGCTGCCCCAGGGCTGGAGTTGGAGTGATGCTGGAGGGTGCAAAGCATCCAGCTGCGTTCCTGTGGGCATCCCCCTGCACAGCCCTGATGGTTCTGCTTCTGGAGTGGGCAGTGATGTGGCCTCTAAAGCACCTGATGGGGTCCTGAGTGTATGTCCCCGAGCATCTCCCGACTCCATGGGGATCCAGATCCTGCTCAGCACCCCAATCCTCCTTCTCCCACAGCATAATTGCACCCTGCCTCAACCAAGAGGCCACCGGCACCTACAAGAAAAGCCTGCTGTCCTCCGAGCAGATCCAGAGGCAGGCGGTGGGCTCGGACCCACTCCCACCCATGACCCAGCCCAGACCCCGCAGCTACTCCCAGCCGGCCATGCAGGCGAAAGCAGAGGTCCACCGAGAGCTGGGGAGTGCTGGAGAACCCCCCCAAGACCCGGCGCCTCGGCTGGAAACGGCGCCCGGCAGCTGGTATGTGATGCCCACGGGGGTGGGGTGGTACCCATGGGACGTGGGGTGAAACCGGGGGGGTGTGTCAGACCCCTGGTGTGGGGGGAAGGAGACAAGGCAGAGGGGTCTTTGCTACTCGCACAGGACTGACCCTCTGGAGCCCCAGCCCCACCGGAGCTCGGATGGTATCTCAGCCCATGGGGGAATCTCAGTACCAAATTATTTACCAGGAGGAAATCTGGATTGCCTTTGGTTTTAATTTGCATTTTGCTTTTATTTCATTTTATAAATATAAACAATGTCCCTCACCAGAATAAATCCCGAGTTCCTGCTCAGACTTTGATAGAAATGAGACGCGCAGTACATGTCCCTCAAACCAGATGCCATATATGATGCCCCTGTGTTGGGCTCAATAAGTCCCAAAAGTGCTTTGCAAGCGATGGGGGGGTCACCGTGCAGCCTCAGGGCGTCGGACTCAAGCTCCCTCTCTGCCAAAATGCAGCTCCAGCTGGGATGGGGTGCTCTGCTTTCTCCCCGGGACGCAGGCACAGCCTACGAGGGCCGCTGCTACTTTGTCCCATGGGCAGGAGAAGGAACCTGGCAGATGGGTTGTCCCCATAAAGGCAGGCACCGGGGGCTCAGATAGGGGAGACAGGGCCCTCCCAAGCCTCCCCAAAAAAGGGACTGGTGATGCTGGGACACTGGCTGAGCAACGCCGAGCCCAGCACTGGGTCCAGCAGCCACCAGTTCTGGGGGAAACCCCAGCTCCTCCCCGGCTGTGTTTGGTGTAACCCCAGCCCTGCCCGCTGCCCCTCAGCCCTCCCTGTTCCCGCAGCCCCCCCCGGCCGGCCCCGGGGGTCGCTCCGCTGGCATCCCTCCTGGAGGACATGGACACGCCATCGCTGGAGGGCTCCGTGCCCGGCAGCCCCGTGCCACGGGGCCGACACCCCCCGCCATCCGCCGCCCGCGCCGGCTGCACCCCGACCAGCTCCCCGGCGGGGGCACAGCGCCCCGATTCCCCCCCCAAAAGCGCTGGGGAGGAGGATGACCTCTATTACGGGCTCCAAGAGGGGCCGGACGCCCTGCTCGAGGAGAGCGACCGCCTTTTTGAGCCTGAAAACTGATTTCCCGGGAGAGAATGGCCGCTTGGCACGGACTCATCTCGTGGAGGGGGACGCAAACGTTGCGGCCTGAAAGAAAGGGGATGGGGCTGCGCCCCTCGCGCTCACCCAGCCGCATGGGAGGCTGCCAACCCCCAAAACCTGAGGGGAGCACTGCCACCTCCCGAATTTCCGCAGCGAGGGGACAACGCCCCCGTCACCGGAGCCCTTTGGGTGAGCGCAGATAAGTGCAAATGCTGGGCTGGGCAGGATCCGGGCTAAATAAAATGCTTAGGAAGGGAAAAGATTAGCTTTGCTGCTTGAAACAGGGTGAGGGTTTAGGTAGGTGAAGATGTTTTCACCCCAGGTAGGCTTTACGAGGCAGAGAAGTCCGCAGTGCCTTTTCTGCACTTATCACCCCCCCCGGAATTAAAATGAGATCCTGAGACGCGGGCAGCAGTCTCCACATTCTCCAGGTTGGGAGTGGGGTGACGGGGGGGGGGGGGACAAGAGCGTGCTGTCCCCCATCTCCTGCACATGGACCAGCTTTCAGTGCTGGCGGGGGCAGAGGGAGGAGGACCCGGCTGAGGCTGAAGGCCCCCCCGGGGCGGCCGCCTTCGGATCAAAGCACCAGCGGGATCCGGCCGCGCGGGGATGCAGAGAGTCCCTCGCTCTGTTTTGGGACAGCAGGGCTGGACGCTGTGCGTGCCCCGCGGGCTTTGCCAGCACGTATCTGCTGGCAGAGCGGCTCTTCGCCAAATTTACGGGGCTTGACAAACCCAAAAGTGTGTTTGTGTGTGTGTGTGTGGGGGGGGGAAGCTGTCCAGCACCCGAGGTGGGGATGGTGCGTGGGAGCCCTGGAAACAATCGATGCTCCCCGCGTTCCCTCGCTGCCCACGGGGGATGTTTTGCAGGTGCAATCCAGAAATGGCTCTGCCGGGGGGGGGGGGGGGCTCTGTGCCCCCGGGACACCCCGCCAGGCATCCCTGCGCCCCCCGCTCGCCTCCGCGTCACCCCACGCGCTCGGGGTGTTTATGGCCAAGGGTGCTCTCGGGGAGGGTGGGGAAGGCCCGACGCTGGTGTTTGCTAAATATCGCCGGCAGGATTGCGAGCGGCTGGCCAAGAGGAAGCATTTGCCTCCTGTTTACACTTGCTCGACTCCTGCCTGTCCTCCCGTGGCGTGGGGGGAGCGTGGCGGCCGTGGGGACGCCGTTGGGACGGGCCCACGTCTCACCCAGCTCCGGAGGGTGCCCGGGGCAGGACGTCGCTCTGCGTCACGGGCTCCTGTTGAGCGTGGGAGTCTCGTTGTTGCCCAAAAGCTTTGGCCCCACCTCACGTCCCGGGACACACGGCCACTTTTGGGGGAAGAAATTTAATTTTCAAAAGCTTTTTCTTTGGGCAGGGAGGGAGAAGAGGGCTGAGGTGGGGACTGGAGGCTCTCCCCACCCTGCCCCAGGAGCCCTTTGTGCAGGTGGATTTGGGGCCCCACACCCCTCAGCGGAGCATCCGTGCCGTGCCCACGGGTGGGCGCACCGCGGGCACTGAGGCTGCCGGAGCTCCCCCACGCCGGCGGAAGTTAAACATTGTGAGAAACGGGGACATTCCTGCATGAAATTAAGAGCTCCGCGAAGCCCAAGGCCCCGGACGCCCGCTCGGCCTCTCGGGTGGGGTGGGTGTGTTTAGGGGGGGCGGGGGCGGCGCAGCGCCTGGCTGCTGCCCCACGCGTGTCACCTCACCCGCAGGAACCCTGAGTCCGTGGGATGTGGCTGGGGCCGTCCGCGCCATGGGAAGCCGATCGTGGGGGGTGTGTGTGTGTGTGGGGGGGGGATCGGGGTGGCGCTGCTGCATGTGTGTGTGTGTGGCGTGGGTGGGTGTCACGCCGCGTGGCCTTGACGGCGCGCGGGGCCACCCACCCACAGCGCACCAGTGGTGTAGTGGTATCATGCAAGATTCCCATTCTTGCGACCCGGGTTCGATTCCCGGCTGGTGCAGGTCGCGGCCCCCTCATTCAACTTTAATTAAAATTAACTGACAGCGTCTAAATTGCTTGAATCAGGCTGAGCCAAATTAAGGCTAGATACGTCTTTTTTTTTTTTTTACCCTGAGACCTGCCGCGGCTGCAGCCACAGAGGGATGGGGTGGGGGGGTTCCCGGCTTACCATCACCCTGCCCGCTGCCAGCACCGCCCCGGGGTTGGAGGGCAACAGGGGATTTTAGGGGCCCTTTCTCCCTTGGTATTGGGGTCTTCTCTGTCGCCTTTTCTGCTCTCTCCTTCCTCCCCCACTAAACAGGACACCCCCCTCCTTCTTCCCCCTGCCCCTTACACAGACACAGCCAGAGGAATGGCTGCTAGAAGCTCCCCTGCGTGCCAGGAGGGGAATCAGATCTTTTCTCTACAAAGCGTAAGTTTTTGGCTATTTCTGAATATTTTTTCATGAAAAAAAAAAAAAAAAAAAAATTTCTGCAGATAACCACTTCTTCCAGAGAGCTCCAGGGCTGGGCATCTCTCATATTCCCTGCGCAGGTGTTGGGGGTGGGTGTTCATGGCAAGGCCTCCCCGGGGTTGCTCGGCAGGTGGGGCTGGGGGAGCCTTTGTCACCCCCTCCTCTGGGGGCTCTCTCTGTCCATGTTCCCTGTGCAAAAAGGAAGCAAGTGATTCTGCAGGGAGAGGGAGACTGTCCCCCTCGAAACGGGGTGCCCCGGGTGCTCAGCTGCCCTGGAGGTGCCCCGAAGCATCAGCTCCGTGGTGCAGGAGGATTTAGCAGTTCCTGATTAAACTGAGCTGAAAATCAGGAGTGGGACTTGTCCCTGCAAGGAGCCTGGTGGGTGCCGGACCCTGGCGACGTCAGCTCGCCGTGGCAGAGACTGGGTGGCAAGTGGGGTCTGGTGTCCCCCCCAGTTACCCAAACCAGAGTGCAGGCACCCACTCGAGGTCTCATTAGAAAATAAAATGTATAAATCCATGTAAAACAGACACCCATATAAACCATACACATCGTTATAAAACATACGCATCCATATAAAACATGTACATTCATATAAACCATATAAGCTCGGAGGAGCTTATAAATAGCCTGCAAAAATAAATCCCCATTTCCCCCAAAAGCAGGGAGCAGGGAAGGGGTTTACCAAAAGTCACTGGGGATGTAGGGGCAGTGGGGGCCTGGCACTGCGGGAGGGAAGTGGTGGAAAGCAGCCGTGAGAGCCACGGGGAAGCACCACCCGTACCCCGGAAAAATCATATTTGTGATGTGTGACGACTCTGTAGAAAATGCCTAAACGGGATTAGAGGCTTTCATGGAAATTTATCTCTGAAGCAAGCCAGTCAGAGGCACATAAAAGCTTTCAGCCCTTTCTGGAAATAGTCTGTAAGCGTCTGCGTTTTGCTCGCCGGAGCTCCCAGCGATGCACGGGGACTCGGGGGGGGGATGTCCCCGGTGGGCTCTGCTCGCCGCCCTCCCCCCCGCCCCACGACGCGCCGCTTCCCCGCGCGGCTGCCGACCCGCGGCCCCCCACCCGCGCCCCTTTCCCGGCCGCGGCTCCGTTAATGGTTAACCCACCCGGGTGGGCCGATGGGGCCGGCGGCGGTGGCGTGATCCCCGCCCCGCCGCGCCGGGCAAAGCCGCAACCGCGGGTGCGCTCCGGTTCCTCGGCTCCTCCGCGGGTGCGCAGCGGTTCCTCCGTGCCGAGGGAGCTCGGCGGCTCCCAGCACCTCGGTGCTCCCCGTCGGGGCTGCGGGCGGGCATGGCCCCGCGGGTGCTGGTGCTGGTGCTGGCGCTGGCGCTGGGGCGGGGGGCGGCGGAGCTGGCGGAGGAGCTGGTGCTGGCCCTGGGGGCTGCCGAGGAGGAGGCACCCACCATCGGGGTCACCCCCTCGGGACCCGCCGCCTTCCATCGCGCCGCCAAGGTGAGGAGCGTGGGGGTGGTGGGGGCAGCCGGGGTGGCCAAGTGTGTGCGTGTGTGTGTGGGGTGGGGGGGTGTCCCCCCCAAAACCCAAGCGCGGGGCTTGGTGTGTCCCCGCAGGCGTCGTGGCGGCTGCCCGGGCGCTACGTGGTGGTGCTGCGGGCGGGCGGCGGCGAGGCCGAGGTGCGAGGCACGGCGCGGCGGCTGCAGGCCCGGGCGGCTCGGCGGGGGTACCTGACCGAGCTGCTGCACGTCTTCCACCTCCTGCCCGCCTTCCTGGTGAAGATGAGCAGCGACGTCCTGGACATGGTACGGGGGGGGGGGGGGGAGCGAGCGGCGGGGGTTGCGGGTGGGGTGACAACCCCAGCCCCGGGGTTGGGGACACACATGGGAGCTTTGCCACCGCGCCGGGTGCTGGGTGTGCTCCCCCGCAGGCGCTGAAGCTGCCGCGTGTGGAGTACGTCGAGGAGGATGCCTACGTCTTTGCCCAGAGCATCCCCTGGAACCTGGGCAGGATCATGCCACCGCAGCCCAGCTCGGGTGCCTACAACCCTCCCAGTAAGTACTGGGACACGGGGAGGGGGGGGGATACGGCGGGAGTTTGGGGGTGGGTCAGTGACCCAGTCCCCTCTCCTGATCTCGAGGGGACGGGTTTATCCCCCCACCCTGCGGTGCTGTGGGTCTGGAGCTGCGTTTTGGGAGCATCGCAGGTGGCCGGGGCTGACCGAGGCTCTGGTTGCCTTCCCCCCCGGCCGTGTCCCTGGTAGATAAAGGTGACCTGGTGGAGATTTACCTGCTGGACACCAGCGTGCAGAGCACCCACCGGGAGATCGAGGGCAGGGTGCTTGTGACCGACTTCGAGAGCATCCCCGAAGAGGACGGCACCCGCTTCCACAGGCAGGTGAGCCCCGAGGTGCTGTGTGCTGCAGCCTGGCAAGAGCATCCCCCTGCACCCACCAAACCCCGGCCAGGCTCCTGGGGCTTCCCAGGGCAAGAGGGACGCTTGGCTCGTGTCAAAATGCTGGGCAGGACATGCAGCAGCAGGAGCTGTGGTCCTGGGGGATGTTGGAACCCTCAACGTGGTCTATTTGGAGCTGTGGTGGAGCAGGGCCGGGCTCCTTTCTGGGGAAAACAGAAAGGAGCAGGGCCGGGTTCCTTTCTGGGAGGGGGGTGGGATGTGGGTGTGTGTCAAGGTGTTGGTACAAGAGAGAATCAAGGTCCACCTCACACCCAGGGCTGGGACATCTGCCTGCGCCCTGTGGTGGGTGCTAGTGCTGCTTTGTACGGCTTTATCCCTGCCTGCATCGGGGGGGCCAGCACTAGCACAGCCCTGGGGAAGGCTGCCTGCATCCCCTGTCCTTTCTGCCAGCTTTTCTCCTTCTGAACAGGATGATTTTTTTTTTTTTTTTTTTAAATCTGCTCCCCAGCCGGAAATATTTTGAAGGCTTTATCCTGCCATGGGCTTTAGCTGGTGCGAAGCGCGAGGGGTGGGACGGGGTGGGGTGGGGGGGGTCGCAAACCTGCTTGGACGCGTCGAACCGTGGTGCCCGCGCCAGGCCAGCAAGTGCGACAGCCACGGGACCCACACGGCCGGGGTGCTGAGCGGGCGCGACGCCGGCGTGGCCACGGGCGCCAGCGTCCGCAGCCTCCGCGTGCTGAACTGCCAGGGGAAGGGCACCGTCAGTGGGACCCTCATGGGTGAGTCACCCCACGCCCCGGAGAGGAGCCCCCCCCCCCCCCCCCGCCTCGTCTCCCTTTGTGCGAGAAGTGTCCCGTCCCTCATCTCATCCACCCTCCAGGCCTGGAATTTATCGAGGCGGCGCTGGAGGCTCAGCCCCACGCGCCGCTGGTGCTGCTGCCCTTCGCCGGCGCCTACAGCCGTGTGCTGAACGCCGGGTGTCGGCGGATGGCGCGGATGGGGGTGGTGATGGTTGCGGCTGCCGGTAACTACAAGGACGATGCCTGCCTGTACTCACCAGCATCCGAGCCAGAGGTACGGGCTGGCGGGGCTCCCCGAGGTGTGGGGATGTGTGGGGAGACGCTGTCACCTTCCCCGGGCTCATCCGCTCCAGCGCTAAGTCAGCAGAGCGGGCCGGGGGGCGAGCATCCCGTCTCACTCGTGTCTCCCCCCACCCCTGTCACCACCCTGGCAGGTCATCACGGTCGGTGCCACCAACAGCCAGGACCAACCCGCCTCCCTCGGCACCCTGGGCACCAACTTCGGCCGCTGCGTGGACCTGTTCGCCCCGGGGGACGACATCATCGGCGCCTCCAGCGACTGCAGCACGTGCTTCACGGTGCAGAGCGGGACGTCGCAGGCGGCCGCGCACGTGGCAGGCGAGCTGGGTGCCGGGGTGGCAGGCAGGGCTGGCCCTCCGCTTGCTGGTGCTGGCCACGCGTCCCTGCAAGGCACGGGGTGCCCGGGCTGCCTGCGCCGGGGACGTTTTTGCATGCCGTGGTGCCACGGTTTTGGCACGTCTGGCTCGCTTGGGTGTTGCAGCCTGCGCAGAGCTCCCGCATCCCCTGCGCGTGGATGATGGGCTGCAGTGATTCCCCTCGGGAGTTGCGCCGCTCAGGGGAGCGCTGGGCGCAGCCCCCGGTTCTCACCCTGGCCCCCCCCCGGGCTCTCGGCAGGCATCGCTGCCATGCTGCTCAGCGCCGAGCCCCAGCTGAGCCTCGGCGAGCTCCGGCAGCGCCTCCTGCACTTCGCCACCAAGAATGTCATGGACATGGCGTGGTTCCCCGAGGAGCAGCGGCTCCAGACGCCCAACAGCGTGGCCGGGCTGCCCGCCCGCCTGGGCACAGGTAAAGATCTTTGCTGCCTGCTGGGTGCCTGGCAGAGCTTTGCCCTTAATGGGGAAAGAGGCGCGTGGGTGAAAGCACGGCGCGTCAGCAGGGTGTGCTGCTCCCCGAGCCGTGCCGGGGATGGCTGCGCCCAAGCGCGGCTGTTTGCACGCAGAGGGCATGGAGGGGGGAGACCTGCCAGCCCTCGCTGGCAGCCCGGTCCGTGCCATGGGCTCTGGGTGCTGCCGTGGGTGTCCGCTGACACCATCTGCCCCGTTTGCAGCTGAGCAGCTGCACTGCCGCTCGGTGTGGTCGGCGCGCTCGGGGCTCACCCGGCGCGCCACGGCCGTGGCTCGCTGCGCCGGCACCGAGGAGATGCTCAGCTGCTCCAGCTTCTCCCGCAGCGGCAGGCGGCTGGGGGAGCACATGGAGGTGAGCAGAGCGTGCCGAGGCAGAAGTACTGCCCCCGGGGGTGGCCTCGGAGGGGGTGTCCCCGGGCCCCCCTGGTGACGCCGTGCCGCCCCGGCTGCAGGACAAGGACGGGCAGAAGCAGTGCGTGGCCCACAACGCTTTCCGGGGCCGGGGTGTCCACGCCATCGCCAGGTGCTGCACGTGGCCCAGGGCCGAATGCCGGATCAACGCCAGCTCCTTGGCGGCCGAGGGGGCCGGCTGCTCCCCCCGGGACCACGTGCTGACCGGTAACACCCGACATGGCGGGATGCAGGGCCTTGAGCCATCACCAGGATGGCCAAGGGCGTTTCTTCCCGAAAAACTCTGAGGGGAAAAGGGGGGGTGTGAGCGCCGGGGTGACGGGGAAAAGGGGGCATGTGCTGCGCGTGTGGAGGCGGGGGAGGCTCAGGGCTCAGCGGGGACCCCCCCCCCCCCCCCCGCCTCCGCACTTGCGTGTGCGCTGGGGTGCCGCGGTGGCCTTCCCCGCGCCCACGGCCCCTCTCCCCTCGGCAGGGTGCAGCTTCCACTCCCCCGGCGCGGCGCTGGGGGATGGCGGCAGAGCCGTGGCGGGGCCGGGGAGGGGGCCCGGCCGCTGTGCCGGCGGGCCGGAGGTGCTGGCCCACGCCTTGTGCTGCCCGGCCGCTGGCCTCGAGTGCCGGCTGGAGGAGCGGGCGGCCCTGGGCTCCGCCGAGAAGGTAGGGACAGCGCCTGCCACGCTCTCCTCATCCCTCTGCCACCCTGATGGGGTTGGGGGGGGGGGGTCTGGTTGGCATCTCCCTGCGGCCGCCCCGACGCTACCGGTGTCCCCAGTTGGTCGCCGGTAAGGGGACACCCGCCCTGGGTGGGCTCCAGCGGCCGCATCGCTCCGCGCCCCAGGGACAGGGAGACCCCTGCCCCTTTCGCTGACCCGTGGTGGGGGGGGTGACCCCTTCTCCCCTGCTAGGTGACGGTGTCCTGCGATGACGGTTGGGCGCTGACGGGCTGTAACGCCCATTCCCAGAGCCCTGGCACCATGGGAGCCTACGCCGTGGGCGATACCTGCGTGGCAGCCCGTGTCCCGGGCAGCGGCGTGGCCGTGGCCATCGCCATTTGCTGCCGGAGCCGGCAGTAGGGACGGGCTGAGCCGGAGCGGTGGCAGGACTCGGCCCGGTCCACGCTCCGCCGGGTGGGTGCTGCTGCTCCCCACTCGTGACGGTGGGGTACAACCTCGTCACCCTCTCGCTGCTCTGCGAAGAGCCTGGCGAGCTCTGCCCCGTCGCGGGAGCCCTCCCGGCCTCCTTTCCCCGCTGCACACCGCGTCTCTCTGTAAACACCCTGGCTGTCCCAGCCGTCTCGGGGCTGGTTGTTCATGTTGTCACCCAATGTGGGCAAAAACACCACCTTTTAAAAAAAAAAAAAAAAAAAAAATTACTGTGCTCCTTCCTTTCTTCATTCATTGCTCATTAGGTGTCAGCTAATGCTGCTTAGTGTCTGGAAAAATCATAGTTTAGCTATTTTTGGGGCAGTTTTATAATTGCCTGCTCCTGTACTTTTTAGTTAAGCTTAAGGGCTGTAAAGAGTTTGCTTGTTCAATTAGATTTTAATCTGCATTGCTACAGTCAGCTACTGCTTTGTTACTGGTTTGTCTGTTGTTGAGTCAAAGTTAATTATCTGCTGGTGTTAGGCATTGCTTTAACAGTTTCCCTTTCAGGTCTTCCTAAGACACATAGCACAGGCTGCGAGTCCTTTTTTTTTTTTTTTAAAAAAAAAGAAGAAAGAAAAGAGCTTTCATAGTATCGTGGTTTTTACATTTGTACCTTAAATATTTATTTGGAATTTTATAAATAAATATTTTATAAATGTCTTTTTAAAATAAAATTCATAGCCCCCTGCTCAGTAGATACAATCCATCGTCTGGCTTCACGTACACACCCCCCCCCCTCCCCGGGGAATCAGTCAGGAAGGGGGAAGCTGATACCCACCCTGCAAGGATGCTGCTCCCCCAAATGAGCTCTGCTTCGTTAACGAGCCAGCCCCCGGCCCCCGGGGTGGGCTCTGCTCCTGGCCTCGGGCAGGAGGTGCCCCTGGAGCCTCAGAGGTCAGCACAGACAGCACAGACACCCTCTCCCAGGGCTGGCGCAGAGACCAGGGGCTGAGTCTTGTCCCATGCAGGAACAGAAGGTTGTTTTTAAAACAGTGGTGTAGGGCAAGAGCTTCCAGTTACGGAAATAAATCACCTTCCAGCTCTGGGGAATGTGCCCTTGTGCTTTTTGCTGCCGTTTCTAGGATCACTGGGCTTCACTTGATAAACACTGAAGCCCCAGAAAGAAGGTAAAGCACAGATGCTCAAAGAGAGAGGCACAGCAGCAGAGAATGGCTGAGAAGTACCAGAAGCCACCAAAGCTGGGTCTCACGTCTTTGGGGGTGATGAGCAGCCTTCCAGTACTACAATATACAATTTGTGTTGTGTTACTGGAACACAGGTGAAAAAAATAAAGCTCGGTACCAGAAGCACCAGCTTAACCTGTCAAACCGGCTATTGTGGGCTGGGTGTTTCTCCCCCATCAAAAAGCCCCTTACCTTCACTCCAGCTTCAATCGGCAAGAGAAGACAGAGACCCAGTAGGAAGCACCACAGTGAAAGGTTTAAACTATTTCTAACTTGTTACCTAAAGATGGCAAAAGCCCAACCCTAATCTAAACATGTAATTACCTAAGATGTATATAATTACAGCCCATAATTTCATCAGCTATAATCTGAATTTTGCACAAAGGGGGTGAGGGAAGAAGGGATGTTAGCCTAAGTGCTCCTGAATGGTTTTGGCGCAGCTGGTAATTTTTCAGCAGACTTCCTAAGATGTAACCTCTCAAAACACGCATCAGATATTTCACCTCCGCTGACTCCCCAGCGAGTGGGGAAGAACCTGGTGCCTGCTCCCCCGCCAGCTCCCAGCAGAAGGTATTCCGTGCACAATAAGCCAGATCCAGCTTTTGCAGCTTAGTTCAAGCATGCATAAACCTGCTGGCAGGAAACGGTATTAAAAGATGAGCCCTTCCTTAGCGTCTTGTAGGTGGGGAGGCAGAAAAGCCCCTCTCATCCAGGAGAAAGCCACACTGCTCCCCGGAACGCCACGGCCAGTCCCCATCAGCACAGTTTGCAATACCCAGTCCACGCTCCCAGGACTGGCACTGCTGGGTCGTGCCCAAAATGTGGAAGTCTGTCCTCTGCTCTAAGGACAAAAAGGCAGACGTCGGGAAGGCAGAGCCGGGACGGCAGCCCTGGCTGTGGCTCCTCGTGCTGCTTACGAAGGCAGCGAGCAGGGGAACGCCAGTGTTAATTAAAAGTCCAGAGCGCCTGCAAATCTTGCTGTCTGACACACAAAAGCCGGTCTAATCCATGACTGCAAGCGTAGCCAGGGTAAGTCATTCTGCTAAGAAGGTCAGGAGAAGAAACTGCACAGATACAAATCTGACAGTGCAGCAGGTATAAGGATATACAGCGGCGCAGCTCCAGGGGCCATTCAGCTGCTTCAATTTACGCTGGACAGGAGCCAAAATGGCAATCAGGGCAACCTCTCAGAGCTTATCATCTGCAGGACGGGCCTAAGAAGTTTCAAGATAAGAGGATTAACAAGACAACAGCGTAGCAGTGTATGCACAGTCTAAAGATTACACTAGTTTTCTGTGAAAGGAATAACTTTATTCCATTGACCAGGAATCCCGAGACTGGTTCATCAAGACTGCCTATTTTTCCAGTGCCAAATGTCTACGTATCTATCGGACAGTATCTCCCCGAATGCTCACAGGCAGGCTGCGGCTGATCCTCACTGAACATTTTGTAAGCTGTATAAAAACATTTTCATCCAAAAAGATTGGCAGTAAAAATTACAACATAGAAATGCATCACAATTTACACAAAAACTAGGTTTGTTGAACTCTATTTTCCAAAAAATAATCTTCAGCAGGTTCAAATGACAGCAGCTGGAAACAAAAATAATCGACCAAGTATCATCTTATTGCAAATTATAACCACTGACTTTGTACAAGCGTGAGCAGAACCGTGAAAAAGTTTGTATTGGTTTCAAGTATACAGTGGTGATGAGCCATCCTGATGCAATTCTCTTATCCACGCTTCTGTGGGCCCGCAGTAATCGAGGACGTTGTTTCCATAGGAAATAACAGGAACCTGAAGTGACAAGTGGTGCCAACCCATAGGAACATTACCAGCTTCTTCCATCACCATCACCGCTGTGTACTGACTTCTTGTGATGATTCATTAACAAAGTATTAGGGATGGGGGAAGGAAGAAGGGCTATCCGTAAGAAATGGTTTATTCAAAATTAATTTAAAACATCACATTTAAAATGTCCCAGCACATTATCAGAAACATTTATAAAATGCTAACTCTGCCATGTGTCTATGAAGACATTGTTTGGAAAAGAAAGTGAGAGATTCACTACAATGCCACCCTTACTTCTTCGCACGTGCAATTTATGACAACGGCTCTCTTAACCCGCAATAAGTTATAAAGCTGTACAGCTGAAATCAGATCGGATGTTTACTTCCAACAGTGAAATGACTGGTTAATTGCAATATTAGTGCACAACAGTGAAAAGCTGTCTGCTGCTTCTTGTTTCGGCAACAGTATGTAAAAAGAAAAAAAAGGCACTTTTTGGCTGGTTGTGCCTTTAACTTGGCAAATTTATCTATTCTGGAGGTACCCAGGCACTCCTTAAGATGTCCCCCATTTCTGTGCATGTTTGTTTATATAATTTTTTTTTTTTTTTAAAGTAAGGCAGAATCCATAAATAAAGGCAAAAAGCAGTGCAGAAAACGTGACGAACGCAAAAATGTACAAAAGATGAAGAGTTAGTTGGCACAACAGCAGCTAGTATCCAGAGCCAGAAATCACTGAACTGCACTCGACATGGAAAACAAAACCGTGCTCAAATCACTCCAACTGGTTTCCAGTTGTTTATGAGCAAATCAAAAGAGCTGTGATATTTTAAACGTTGCCTGGTCAAGTAAAAATACAAACAAAGCCAAATCATTCTTTCTCCGTGTTAAAATTGCTATAAAATCTGCACAACAGTGTTCCCAACTCACTCGAGAAATTATTCATCATATACAACCAATACCAACTTTCTCAGTAATTTCAAAGCATAAGCAAGTGATTGCAGATCACATGATTGAGACTACATTTTATTCAATATGTCTCCAAAGGCTAAAAAAATTTAATGAGTAAAACTGCAACAGAATTCCATCTTAAAGTGCTTTTTTTTCTTTTAAACTACTCATTAACTTTTTTTTTTTTTTAATCCACCAACAACCTTTAATAATGAACATTTGCATAACCAGAGAACAAAGCTTTTCTTTTATTGCCCTTCCCAATTGTCTGTGGTTTTTGGAAGGGTACCAGAAAGACAACCCACTCCAGAGCTCCTTGACCAAACCATTCTGTAAGGAATCACTCTCCTTACAGAGCAATCTTGCTGATCCCTTCTCATAAAGAGCTTTACAAATTAGCAGGGAGACATATTAAATACGGAAGTCCTTATGTAAACCCATTCTTTAACTAATATTTTACAATGAAATGTAAGTCATCACACATCTTTACAGAAATTTGAATATTCCTATTCAATATTATCAGAAAGATTAAAAATTTGCCCTCCATACATAAGGGCAGTCTGTTTGTTTTCCTGTATAAAAACCAAAAGAATTTTTTTGCAGCATCACAGAAAAGCAACAGTTTTACATTCACTCATTTAATGTTCACATAAAAATTCAACCACTAGCGTTTGTGTATTTGATAAAATCTTCTTGACAAACTGTTTCGGTGTCTGGACTGTCATAAGCTACTGCAGGTGAAGATGCAGTTTTCTATAGCATTTATTGATCTGAAGCCTTTGTGGCTAAAAAAATGCTTTTAGCTTTCAGGGGAACAACCTCCTCTGGCATTGCCTCCGATCCGATAAAGCCACTTCTCTTCCAGACTCTTCTAACGGCATAAGCAACAGGACTCCAGTTTCAGTAGGTACCAGGCATTAAATGTTTGAGTTGATCTGTTCTTGTGTTCATAGGTATCCTCTATGGGTCAACGTCATCAAGGTCACTTTTAGGCTCACCAATCATCATAGGAGACTCTGAGCCCTTTCAATACACACAAGGGATGGGGAGAGAAAGATACGGCACGTTACTTTAGTAAGGGGCACAATTATTGTGTCCACATTCAGTGATGGTTCTGACCCGAGCCCCACGAACAAGGAAACAGAGCAACGCAACAGAAAATAAACATGTCCTTTTGTTATTGTTACCTGCTGCAGGTGTCGCTCTCCGTTCTCGTTGGCTGGACTACTTTCCGACCCGTTACTGCTTCCAGACTGATCTTTCTCGTTCAGCAAGGCTGTGGCATAGGCCAGCGTGTCCTGAGTTGGAAACAGTCCACAAGAGAGAGTCAGGGGCGATACCTTAATTTCCTATTTTTTTATTTTTAAATTTTTTTTTAAAGTTGATTCTGAAACAATATAGCTGCTGTAGTGAGATTTCTGAGTCACCACAGGCAATTGTGAGGTACACGACCAATATAATTCAAGTGTTATTTTTTTTCAGGAATGACCACAGTGTCTGGGCTTCTAAAGAAAGAATGGTCTTAAGTGCACTGGAATGTGCTGAAGTTGCCAAAACCAAAGATGCTAGCTGAAAAGCAAAAAAGAAAATAAAACAAGTTTAACATCGTCTCCCAAGGCTGACACATACCTGCGC